TTTTTGAGAACTTATTGCCTGAAACAGGAGTGTGTCGTTTTCTCGTTCAACAATGCCTCTAACAAGAAGAAATTCAGAAGTTGTAAAAGAAAACAAAAGATAGAGCTGATCAGTAATTGATTGAAAAAACTTAATCAATAGGAAAGAAGAATATCTTACATCTGTTTTTGTAAGGAGCAGTGTTTATATGATTTATTAGTTGTTTCCTAGTATTTATTAATTGACTTCCTAAAGAAACAAATGGATGAACAGATTTGATCTCGAATGCACAGACAGAAGTGGAGTCGTCAATCTTTTGCTTTCTCTCTCCTACAGCAATTTCATGCCAGCATCAATCGAGAAAACTCCAGTCATCTAATCAACCAAAATCAGACTGTTTCTATTCTGTCACAGAGTTTTTCATTCCCTCTCAACAACTGCGCACTATCTGACAAGCTAACCAGTCCAATGGCTTGAAATCACGCTGTCTATGAGAAATGACGCATTTCATAGAATCTACAGCTGCCATATACCATATATCAAAAGGTGGCTATTCATTTTTACCTTAAGGTTCAGAGCAAGAAAATGGCAATGATGTTCAGACAGTTCATCCTGTCTGGACGCACCATTGGCAAGAGAAAATGTTTGCTGTCCGTGCACTTCAGAATACCATACACTTGATTTGAGAATATTCTATTTTATTTCATGGTTTTAAACTTCGGTACAACTTATGGGATAAAATATCCATGAATCGCTTTAACTTTCAATATAGGAACTGTGATTCCATGAAGCTGTTTATCACACAGTTCTCATGAGAGGAAATATCAAAGTTCTATGAAAAGGGGGTATCGAAAGCAATGACAGATAAAAGAAAGAACTCGCATTGGCTTTGCACTTTATCACAGCCCTTGGGAAAAGCTCAGAGTGATTCATGTAAAATTAGTTCCTTTTTTTGTATTAAGCCCACAACTGTTTCAATACAGGCAAATGTCACAGCTATTCCGAGCAGAGAAAATTACAATATTAAGAATGGCCACTGAATCTGGTTGTATTGGAAGAATATTACCTATGACATCAAGAAAATCTCCTTTTCTTCTTTTAATTATTGCTATTTGATCTTTACCGAACTAATGGATCAAACAGCAAACATCTTGGTCTAACAACTTGAATAAAGTTATAGAGATATATCTTGGGACCTGAAAGTTAACTTGGAAGAAGGTTAATTGTAGTCAAGTGACTGAGGCTAATGTTAGATGCTTAGAGGCACCCTCATGATTATGGTAACAGAGCAGAAACATAGAGGTTTCAGGTTTATAACTCCCGATGGCAAGTTGGGAAACTGATTTCTAAAAATCTGGGAATGTATGGGTAACACAAGAGATCTACTGAAAACTGAAACAAATGACAAAATTCCAATTGGTTAATTAATATTCTTCAAAAAATAGAAAAAGGTTTGACAGAAACTAAATTCTAGCCCTAAATGATTGAGTCTTCATGTCCTCAGCTCAGTAAGGGATGAAAAATATCAACCACATCTCTCAAATACATTGTGAATAATCTAATAGTTGCTTTTCTTTCTCCCATTCTTATGTCACAAACTATTAAATATTGGGAGTAGAACAAGGGGGTGTGGGTTCAATTTCATTAAGGCAGCTTTTAGAAGATATCAAGAAACATCTCTTTGCAATTTGTAGGATAGATCAGTGAAGGCAAAAGCCCTGGAACCATTTAAGAAACAATTGGATACTTTCTTTTCAAATCGCGTTGTGAATTTATATTTTGTGAGCATATGTTTTCTCTTGGTAAGAATATCTGGCTTTCATCATTTTGTTTTAAATTCTAGGGGAATATAATAATATTCCAGGTTGTGGCCAAGTTGTGCTTGGTGGGTGTACTTAGAATATCCCACACAGTGAGGTTTCACAAAGGAAAATACCAATCGTGGCAAACGCACTAGAATGCTGAAAATTTAGGAGCAGTTAAAAAGGGATTTTACATTTTTAAATTTATTCACAATTTACAATTAGATAAACGCAGATGTTTCAACACTCTGTACTTACCTTTACCCCTGCTTCCCTTTACTTGCATCTCCTGTCTCAGCTCAAAATAGTGAAGTTGCAATAGCCAATCATTTTCCTGGTTTCCCTATTGCCATCATTTTCATGGTGCAGGCAAAGTTAGGATTGCACTATGGGTAACCAATGCCGCAAGCCCTTAATGGGCTATGGCAGACAGAGCACATTATTTGACTCCCTTGTGTCTTACATTACAACATTGTCTAAATTTCAGAAAAATATACTTAATTGGTTGTAAAGAACTTGAGATGCCCTTAATTCATGAACAGTTTGGTATAAATGCAACTTCTTTCTTTATGTGTACACTAAAATAGTAGGCAGCTGCCAAGCCAGAAAGAAATTCAGCGCCTCACACAAATAAGTAAAGTGATCTATGAGCTTCAATGCCAGTGTGATGCTGGATAGGTAGGCCATACATCTCTAGGGCTGACAGATCATATCAAACAGCGTGTTGCTTTAGTAAGGTACTGGCTGTACCCATCCAGCCTGTGCTTGCTGAATGCAAAACACAGTCTCCACCATTAGATATGATTGGACATTTGCTAAGTAATCCTGAATGTGTTAAGCATTATGCTAACAGCCAATTTCAGAGTGTGAATTTGGTTTGTAGCATGGTGCACTTGCAGACAGAAAGAACATATATGTAAACTGAGCCTGTCCTAATTTCACAAAACAAGCATCAGCCATTCTCTAGATTATTGCCTTGACTAATCTGCTTAGATTAAATTTAAACAACCTTGGTACTTAGCTGTCAGTCATCAATTAACAGGTGTATTCTCCATGGCAATGCCTGTACCAAGTGGTGACCACTTACCACCAAGTTACCACTCCGAGAGTCATACAGCATGGAAACAGACCCTTCCATCCAATTAGTCCATGCCAACCATAATCCCAAACTAAACTATTCCCACCTGCCTGCATCTGGCCCGTATCCCTCCAAACATGTCTTATTCAGGTAATTACCTAAATGTCTTTTATAGGTTGGAACTGTGCCTGCATCCACCACTTCCTTTGGAAGTTCATTCCACACATGAACCATTCCCTGTATAAAAAATTTACACCCATTTCTTTTGTAAGTCTTTCTCCTCTCACCTTAAAATTATACTCCACTCGTTTCTAATACAGTATTAAATGTAATTCCCCGTTATGTTGGTATTCGTGTGAACATTCTGCTAAGTACAACATGAAAAGCAGTGACAGAATGTATCTTTTGTCAGCAATTCTTAAATTTTGTATTATCAAAAGATGAAAATAATATGCCTTCTCACCAATAGATTCCTTGGGGTCTCAGCCTGGGCTGGACTGATTAACCAACAGCTTTGGGCAACCTGGCTATTCAGAGTCAAGGCCTGTGATGTGGGAGGAGATACTCACCTTCAGTCATCTGTCAGCTCTTAATTATCTGTTTGGTGGGCAATTGGGTGAGTTCTCTTGCCAATGTGCATGCGGCATTCGTCACACCCTAATGCATTCACCCCCATATAAATTCATTGAGTCATAGAGTTGTACAGCATGGAAACAAACCCTTCAGTCCAACTCATCTATACTGACCAGAAATCTTAAATTAATCTCGTCCCATTTGCCAGCATTTGGCCCATATTCCCCCAAACCCTTCCTATTCATGTACTCATGCAGATGCCTTTTAAATGTTGTAATTGTACCAGCCTCCACCACTTCCTCTGGCAGCTCATTCCATACACGGATCACCCTCTGTGTGAAAAAGTTGGCCCTTAGGTCCATTTTATATCTTTTGCCTCTCACCTTAAACCTATGCCCTCTAGTTTTGGACTCCCCTACCCTGGGAAAAAGACCTTGATTATTCACCCTATCCATGTCTCTCATGATATTTAGAAAAAGAAACAAACAAATATGGTTATGATTTTTACATCTGTTTTTCAGCACCAGAGAGCTTGTTCAGTAGCAATTATGACTTAATTCAACGTTGAGCACTTAGTCCCTTTTATTCCATGTGGATAAATGTTTTCATTGTTATTTACAGTGAGGACACAGTATGATTAAGTAAACATCAGAAAACATCTGTGATTTCTAATTATCCAATCTGCAAAAATTGTATACAGCCCACCCTTTGAAGGAGCATGGTTACACTGACAACAGCTTCTGGATTTTAGTGTTTAACTGTGCATCTGTGGACTCCTGAAGTTACTATCGGTTGTATGAATGTTGACAGTGAATGTTGACAGTTTTTTCATTCTCGGGCTGCAAATTCCAGGCCATTACAATAGAACCCACAGACTTGTAATAAATGAACAAGCATAAAAAAATAAGATAACAAGGTGTAGAGCTGGATGAACACAGCAGGCCAAGCAGCATCAGAGGA